GATGGTATTTGGGGCCTGCAGTTGAGAGGCCTGACAGTCTGAGGCAGGGGCAGCCCTCATAGAGGGCCTGAAGCAGGAGCAACAGTAGCCCAATGTTGTCTAGATCTGAACAGATTCCAAGCACATACAGCTACTACAAGAATTATTCTTAAGGGGCTAGCAGGTGTTGTGGTAGTTAAGAACGCTGGACTTCCACATGGCTGATCGCGGCTCAAGTCCTGGACCTGGTGGCTTGCTTTCTCGCTTTCCCTCTCTCTGTCTCTCTCTCTTTCTCTCTCTCACTCTTTTGCTCTGTCCCTCTCTGGTCAAAATTTAAATAAAGAAATAAATGAACTTAAATAAAATAGTTCTTAAAATTTTTTCTTAAATAAAAAAAAAACGGTTTAAATTTTTTCTTTCTTTTTTTTTTTTTTGAGAGATTTTTGCTATAAGGGACATACACTCACCAGAGAGAGACAGAGAGACAGAAAGGAAGAAATCATTCCCCAGGGGGATGGTCATGCTGCAGTCCCTTCTCCATTCTCCACTCAGGATTCTGGGCAGGGATACATGCACCCGCACCCAGCTTGGGTTTTAAGCTGCTGGGTCCAGAACTCGAACCGCAGTCAGCCACGTGGGAGTCCAGTACGTTAACCATTACACCATCTGCTGGTCCCTGCTATAAGAATTTCAGTGCAGGACTTTGAAAGCCCTACAAAACCAAGGAGCTGAATGGAAGCTGTGAGCGCTCAGGCCAAGGCAGGCTGCACAGTCCTCGCCTTTAGGAAGACCCACAGCATGTGACAGAGCTCAGTGGCAGCTGCTTCAAAGGCTTTACCCCATCGGCCAACAAGGTGACCTCTGCAGCCTCACTGCGACAGGGTCCATGTTTCTCCCGTGTCAGGGACTTTGCTTCCACCCAGTCTGCAGGACAGTGTCTCTCTACAGGGGAATCACTCATGTAAGGGTACCCAAAGCTCACTTACATTCAAGTTTTCACAGAAGCCAGCTTCCATTCTGACTCAATTTTTTTTCAGTTTTTTTTCTTTTTTTGAGAGATTTTTGCTATAGGGAAAATACACTCACTGGAGAGACAGAGAAACAGAAAGCAAGAAATCCACTAAGAGGGAGGACCATGTTACAATCCCTTCTCGATCCTCCTCTCAGAACTTTTGGCCATGCACATGCTCTCCGCTATGTCCAGGACTCAAACCGTGGTCAGCCAAATGCGAGTCCCAGCGCCTTAACCACCAGGGCTCCTGCTGGCTGTAGCAAATCCATTTCAACAATCCTGTAATGCAGTCACTATGGGTCTGATTTATCCCATCTCTCAGGCATGTTCCCTGGGAGATGCATTCTACTAACGTGACCCAGTTTAAGCTCAGAGTGCGAATCTAGGGGAAACAAGTTCCCTTGTATGAAACTAAACTGTGGGGGGCTGCAGGAGGGGTCGCAGTAGGGCGCTAGCACTGTAATTCTGATCGTCCTGCGCCCGCGACACTCAGACATGTGAGCAGGGCGGTGCCATTACACATTCCAGCAGAGCTGAGGAGAATGCTGGCCACAGAATCTGAGAGCTCAAGGTAGGGGTGTCCGGGAAACGGAGACTTGGAGGTGGGACTCAGTCATGAGATGGGACAGGAAGGAAAGCAGTACGTGTGGCCAGCATTGAAACGTTATAGGAAGACTTTGGCCAGAACTGCCATCTTCCAGTAATTAACTGAAATGACAAACACAAATGGAAAGGGGAGAGGCACCCGATATATGTTCTCTAGGCATCTTAGAAAACATGGAGTTGTTCCTTTAGCAACATACATGCGAATCAACAAGAAAGGTGATATCGTAGACATTAAGGGAATAGGTACTGTTCAAAAAGGAATGCCCCACAGATGTTCCCATGGCAAAACTGGAAGAGTCTACAATGTTATCCAGCATTGTTGTGAACAAACAAGTTAAAGGGAGGATTCTTGCCAAGAGAATTAATGTGCGTATTGAGCATATTAAGCATTCGAAGAGAAGAGATAGCTTCCTACAATGTGTGAAGGAAAATGACCAGAAAAAGAAAGA